TCCAGCATAGAACCAAGGTATTTGAACTCGTCGACGGTTTCAATCTCGACATCACCCAACTTGACTTGACCAGAGCCGTTCACCGTCATCACATTTGTTTTCGCTTCATTTATTTTTAGACCAAAACCTAGACTTTCAGTCCTCACAGCTTCTACTAGCTCTTCCAGTTTGCGCTTATCATCCTCTAACAGTGTAGTATCGTCCGCGTAGCGTTTGTTTGAGATATTCATCCCACCAATCTTGAGTCCTGCATCTGGAAGTCTGCTTCTGACAGTACGCATGATGATTTCACCAAACACATTAAAAAGCAAAAAGCCGCGAACTAGTACAAGGAACAAAATTGTTGAATGAATCTTGTCAGAAAGATACAACGATGATTTTGTAGCGCCTCCCCAAAGGTGGGCGCCAGACTCAAAAGAATAATTTTGTAAATTGTTAAAAATTGGGGGGTGAGAGGAATCCACGAACCCTAGAGACGATCTCAAGATTTTCAGATGTAGGTTAAGCAATAGAAGAAAGGTGGGATTTCCATTTCAGATTTTATGGCACAGAATGAGAGAGTTATGGAAAGATGTAGAAATATCCAAGTCAGTCCCATTCATGAAAGTCGGGTTTTCACTTGCGTCAAATCACACCCTATTGTTTTACTTTGATTGAGCATAACAAAATTGACTTTTCAGGTCATCAGCGAGAAGTAAGACTGAAATGCTACTTTGAAAGGGAGTGCTCGCAACTTAACTGGCAATGTATTAAAGGAGAATTAAAGCTTAGATAATTGCATCGGTTGATTAATATGTACTTGTTAAGTTTGAAGAAAAGTATATCATTGGCGAAGGGGATTGATAAAACAAAAGAGAAAGGGGGCACAAGGAACAAGCTTACTTTTAAAGAAGCTGTAGTATTAATTGTGTTACTGCAAGCTTTTTTACACTGTCTTTCTTCTGTCTACACATTTCACATTGTCTTTCTTCTGTATTTTTCTTTCAAGGTTATAGGCAGTGTCTTGCGGGACATTTATCGCACTTTGAAGACTGTCGTGCAAACAGAAGCAGATGAAGTCGCTTTGGATTTCGCCAACAGGGCACTTGTGCAGCTTGAATCAATCATCAACAAACTTCTGTTCCCTGCAGAATGTTTAAAGAAACAGATACGGGTGCTTCGACCATAAGACGTGTGATTCAGTATGCTTGCATATGTTCGCATGGTGCATTGGTAATTTGCTGCGGTCGGGAATCAAGATGCTTTTGATCATCCTGGAACAGGATTTAATATGCTGACCTACAAATTAAAGGATGCTCCTTCAGCAAATCTGCATACTGTATACAAATAGAAGAGGTATTTTCTACCACAAGATGTCCTGAATGAGTACGAGGTTCGCAAATAGAAGATGACTTTATTTTTGTTGATTTTTTTCAAAGTAAGAAAACTCAATCTTGTTTCAAATTCGACATTTCCATGCATCAATCGACTACCATAAATCAGTGTTAACTTGAGAGAGAATTGAGGATAATGATAATTTCCGTGACCGTTTACGTGTAAGATGTTTTCTCTTTTTCCACACTTCTTCCAGCTATAGATTTCAAGCGTATGCTCTGTTTTGCAGACAACCTGTCCCTAGTTAAAAAATTATGGAATTGGGTTGGATATCGCTGTTCACTGTTGATGCTACATGTCATTCGAATCACAATATTCACAACCCTATGCCGAATTCAAAAGAGCTATAAGAATTATATAGAATGCAATCCCCGCCAATAATACTTGTTAAGCTACTGTCTTTATTTTAAAATTTCACGTTAAAGTAGAAAATTTTGATTCGGAGAAAATTTAAATAAACGAAACTGCGGCCAAATTGAGGCACAGCTCAACTGAATTATTGAACGAGAGTAGCTGAAATTTTAGAGAATATGTCATTGTTCAGAGTAACTGAAATATTAGAACAGACAAATTGGAATCTAGAATCTTGAGTAAAGTAAAACTTTGAATCAAGTATTCATTGCGAGAGGTTATTGATTAGAAACTCTCTTGCGGAATCATTTATTTTTGCCTCTAGTACTGTTTGAAAATCCGGCCCAAATGAGTTTGTCCCCAACTCATGAAGACTACATCCATATCTTGATTTTTCTCCAATGCCTGGAAATGTCTTGGGCTCATCCTTTTCAAAGGATCTTTTTAAACAATACAAATATTAGCTAATTGATTGATTTCTATAAATAAATCTGTAAGGAAATGAGTTCTATAAATAAATCAGTAAGGAAATGAGTTCTATATAAATCAGTAAGGAAATTATTTTCATTACTAAATCAAGCAGTAAATGCAAATCTCTGCAATCTTTCAAAAAAACAGCCCTAAGTTTAACCAATAATATACCAATACTTTTAATTAGCTCGATGTGCTCTTACACAAATTACATACTGACCTTTAATTGATTGACGTCAGATCAAAACAAATGTACGATAATCGTCTAGCCATGGGCACAGAATTGGGTAAGGGGACAAGCCAATGCTTTGATGCACGTTCAAAGTTGAAAGGCACAGAACTCGGTCGGTGAAATAGAGTTGTATTTTTTCAGAGGCAACCACGAAATTTTCATTGTAGTTAGCAATCTCATGCGATTTCTTTTCCAGTTTTTTTTCGCGTTCTTTGATTTCATGTACTCTATTTTTTTTTATTCACGTTTGATCATTTGAGCTTTGAAGAGACAAAACGCAATCGATTTTTGGCACACCTTGTCATTTAATTCACTTGGAACTGCTTTTTATGCAGCCTGCTTTCGTCAGAGAATCTTCAGATACAAACAGAAACTATTTTTAAAACGCCAGTTGTTCTGTTGACCAGAAAGGAACTTTCCATTGACTGTGGACAAGAAATCTCTGATTTCAAGGAACGTAGGGAAATGGAGAAATGCCTGGGTCATTATATTTTTCCAAAGGGGATTTCCCGGTGGGAAAATTTCTCACCAGGACGGTGCTCACCGGGCTTGTTTCACGGGGTTGTTGCTTAACTTTCCCTTGTTAGCCGGGACTGTGCTAATAATTTTATTGCGCTGATTAGGCACGTTCTGCAACAGCGCTGCTTTAACAAATAAAGTACGGTATCATTTCAAAATGGTACGGGGGAAAACGGAAACCGTATGATATGGTTCTGTTTTTAATGCGAAAAAAAAATACAGGATAGTGATAAGACGGAACAGCTGAAACTTTGACTTACTTTGACATGATTTTGAACTGAAAGACAAGGTTACAGCTGCCCCCTGTGCCCTTGGCTAGAGGGGCATGAAAGGGGCAGAAAGTGCCTTTTTTGCAGTGCCATAGAATTCCATGTTCTGACAAGTAGAGTATGCTTCATGCCCACCCTTCACATAAAAGGGATCTCATTCATGCCTATCAGAGCTTTAGATACCATTACCTTGACACTTGACGACAAGACTCAACTCTCTACTTGAACTGGGCCTGGTTAAAGGTGGTAACAACAATTAAGGTCCAGTCTTACTGAGGGAAACAAAACTTCACCCTTGCCTTATAAAACAAGATAGGCAAATGGCAAAAATTTACTCTAAAGAATAAACAATATCCCACCCCTTCACCTTTGACACTTCGAGCTTTTGTCTACGACTAGATATTTCACATCCAAAAAATACTTTCAAAAGAAAATAGAGTCGAAGCAGAGAAAATTGCTATAAAAGTTCCGATAGTTTCCGAAACCAATTGCAACAAAAAATAATTGATGTTGCTTTAAGCCACCAAGCTGTACTATTAAAAAAATTTCGGGAGGAGTACCCCCCCCCCCCGAAACCTCCTTTTTACTCGATTCACTTCCCTCATCTATGTACACCGTCGTGCCCTTAGTAAAAGTCTGTCGCCTTTGCCCTGTCATACTTCCGGCATCCCTGAGTACGTTGACCCTGTTTTCAGAATACCATTTTGGTCCATCGGGTACTGGACAGCCTAATGACACACCTTGTTAAATCTACAATTGCGTCGGAGAGTAGGTAACCCGGTTTTTTTCGTTTGCTTTTTGATGACAATCGGATTTTTATACCAAACCAAAGTATATAGTACCTCAATGCTAAATGTTCTTAACCTGTGCAATTTTAAAGCTTTTTCAAGACAGAAATATGCATTTAGGTTTACAAGAATAGCTAATCCTCACGTCTGTATCCCCCCTTGCCTATTTGAAATTATTCTGACGCGTCAAAGTACCTGTTACTTCTGTTACTACGCTACAAATGTTATCACAAAGTAAGGATGAAATAGAAGAATTAAAGCAACTCAGCGACTTTTGACTACATTGGTGTCACTTGCTTAACTCTTCCATTTTTATTGGAAGTTTTTATTAAGAAGGCTTATCAGAGACGTGATCTCGATTTTCTGTCGGCTTTCTAATAAAGACTTGTCACTCGCTATTTCACAAGAAGTATCGTCTACTGATAGAGATGGAGCAAAGCGAATCCGATTTAGACAATGCGATGAAAAATAAAAAGGAATATCGGCTACACAAGAATACAACAGGAAGTGTTAGGGAAAGCCGCGACAATGGATGTAAAACCGCAAAACAGGGGTTTGCGTGTACACACATTCAAGAAAGACCTGCTAAAGATTCGGGGAAGCAAACTAACGCTCACTCGTATTGTAAGCAGCAAGATGGGGAAACCTCTCGAGGCTCATCTGGACATCAGTACACAGCAGTAAGCATGAATTGGTTGCCAAACTCGAAGACAATTGTTCCGCCAGATT